GTCTTTTATGACTCCACCTTGAAGGTCACACAATTTCATTTCTCCAATATCCTGTTAAGTTACTTTATTAGTCCGTTTGTTTTGCTATAACAGAAGTACCTGAGATGGAGTAATTTATAAAGAACAGAGGTTTATTTGGCTTATGATTCTGGGACAGCTGCATCTGGCACGGGCTTCAGGCTGCTTATACTCATGGTGGAAAGTGGCAGGCAGCTGCCGGGATCAAGCAGATCACATGGTGAGAGGAAGCAAGAGAGAGAGAGAAGGGAGGTGCCAGGGTCTTTTAAACAACCAGCTCTCGTGGGAACTAATAAAGATCTCACTCAGGACCCTCAACCCCCAGGGAGAGCATTAATGCATTCATGAGGGATCTGCCCCAATGACTAAAATGGCTTCCAACACTGTCACATTGGGGACCAGATATCTGCATGAGTTTTGGGGGACAACACATCCAAACTCTTATCAGTTACACACCCAGGTGAGGTCCTACGCAAGAACATGCCTTCCAGGAAACAAAGATCATTGGGGCTATCTTGGAGGCCGCCTATCACACTCTGTCTCTGTAAAGATTGATTTTGAGTGACCTGCAGGATTGGACACAGAGACAAGGTGAGAGTGAGGATTTTGCATCTCTTTGTTTGAGACTAGTGCAGACTTCATGGTCTGATCTATATGTCTTAGGCAAGATGGCCTGAGACATATGGATCAGGCCAATGTCTATGTGCCACGAGCCTGATGACTTGCAGAAAGAATTCTACATCCCTCAGGAACCCCAGGCAGGCAGGGTTCTAACCCTGAAGGCACTGGGCTTCAAAGGTGTTTTCTTTTCTGACTTACAGATCCAGCTAGTGGGAGCAGCATTGACTGGGCGTATGATAATGGCATCAAGTATGCATTCACGTTTGAGTTGAGAGATACTGGACACTATGGCTTCCTCCTGCCAGCCAACCAGATCATTCCCACTGCGGAGGAGACCTGGCTGGGGCTGAAGACAATCATAGAGCATGTGCGGGACAACCTCTACTAGAAGAGGGCCCCGTTCTGCCTACATTTACTTGTACCCAAATTGCAACGAGGCTGCTATTAAAGGAGCTCTTTTCTTCACGCGTGTGTCAGAGCCCTCTGGGTCTGTAGGGAGTACAGGCCTGCCCCTCTCCAGTCTTGCTCCCTGGAGTAGGTGATCCCGGTGCTGTACCTGTGAGGAGTGAGCTGCCAGCTGCTTTGTTTTGGTCTTGCTGTTTTGCTGAGCTTTTTGGGTGCCTCTCCTTCCACACACCTGGTTGAGCAGGCCAGAATCATTCCTTCCTGGGTGGCATGTCTCCACCTCATTTTTAGAATAATAGAACATGAGAGATGGTTCTCCAGCCTCATCTGCCTCTAGCCAAGCCAGTGACCTTGCTCTGGTGGGGTCCCAAAGGAAATGCTGTGGGAGACCATGCTTGTCTTTAGATGGGTCTCAAAGACGATGCAGAACTTCCTTTAATTTCTCTCATTCTTTCCAGAATATATTTTTCTTTGAGCAACAAATCCCATAGGGTCATCAGTATAGGTCTTCCCCTCCCCTGTCCCGTATTTTTTTTGGTCTGAATACAAAGTAGAGGATCACTTCCCATCACCAGACTAAGAAATTTCTAGACCATGCAGTTCTTATTGCTTTCTTCTCTCATTATTTAGTGTAACTGGGATCCCAGAAGGGGATCTGTGTCACTATAGGTACTGTTCATCCAGGAATGCTGGACGAAGGGGTCTAAATTGCAGGGTTGCTGAATTATCCCATGTGTCTTAATGGGCTCACTTCCACTTTGCCTTTTGAACTTACTTTAAAGACCTTGCCTTCACCCTACAGGTCCTAAATCATTCCCCTAGCCTGGATAATTTCACTGCCTCTGCGCATTCCTGTTTGTGCTCTGGTGCACCCTGTATTTCCTTCTCCTGGGCATTTTATTTATTTATTTGTTTGTTTATTTATTTATTTATTTATTGGTCTTTAAAGTCATATTTCCTTCTCCTGGGCATTTTATTTATTTATTTGTTTGTTTATTTATTTATTTATTTATTTATTTATTGGTCTTTAAAGTCATCTTCCTCTGTTTTGCATCCTAGACCATGAGTCCCTAAGTGGAGCAAGAATTCATCAGTCAGACACCTCTTGTTCCATTTCTCCTCAGCAAGTACCATCTGTCCTTTTTCTGTTTTTCTGTTTTTGTTTTTTGCTTTTTTCAGACATGTCTGTAAATCTTAACCTTCTGCCTAGGATTTGTGCAGCATCTGGTGTGCACTCATAAGTCAATAAATATTCAATGTGAGTCTCATGATCATTTCCTATTCTTTGCTTTCACCTGAAAGGAACCAAGCCATGGTTTTGAATATGCAGCTCTTTAAAATGTCAAAAGTCAATTTCAATCCCTGTCTGTACTGCACGGCATGTAGAAAAGCCGTCTTCATTAGGCTGAGGGGCCCTCAGGGCAATGTTACCTTGGTGATTTCACTCTGGTCCCGGGTCTAGTTCTTAGTTTTTCAGCTCGGAAGCTTGACACTCTCAGTGTCCTTGTTGATTAGACTTGGGGATGCTGACTCACGCCTACAGAGCTCAGATGAGGCAGATGATAAAATCAGAATATGAATTTATTAATTTACATCATGGCTTGTAACTGTTTAGTGGATCCGATCCTCACGTTGGACTGAATAGTACATTTTCTCCCTGTAGTCAAGATACGTGGAAAGCCAAATTATAATCAGAAGGTTGCTTAGTGAGCGGGCGTCAGAGCAAGGAAAGTTAATTACAGTCTATGATTAGAATTTTTAATGGCATCCAGCACTAATAGTATGATATATCCAGTTCTATAACCAGAACACACCTGCCAGCCAGCCAGCTGGTCACTTGTGCTGGCTAGCCAGGGCTACCGGGGATGGATGGGACAATGCCATGACAATGTTTGCCTCTGGGACTTGCCTGTAACCTGGCTCCATTTATGATCCATCCCCCCCCCCCCCCCCCCCCCCCCCGCCACTGTCCTTCAGATTCCCTAAGGGAAGATATCCTAAACAAGACATAAAAAGTCATAAAAAAAAGAGGCTTGTGACTGTAATAAAATTAATAACTTTTGTCTATTAAAAGACACCACAAAGAAGGGCTAGCCTATGTCTCACTTGGGAGAGTGTGGTGCTGGTAACACCAAGGCCACAGGTTCGGATCCCTATATAGGGATGGCTGGTTAGCTCACTTGGGAGAGTGTGGTGCTGACAACACCAAGCCAAGGGTTCAGATCCCCTTACCGGTCATCTTTTAGAAAGAAAAAAAAAAAGACACCATAAAGAAAGCGAGAAGACAAGTCATAAGCTAGGAGAAGATACTCGCAATATTTATAATACACACAATAGAGAAAGAATATATGAAGAGCGTCTACAAATCAATAAGAAATGCACAAATAACCTAATAGAAAAATGGGCAAAAGATATGAGCAAGGAGGAGACTTAATGATAAAGATCTCAACAGTTTACAGAAAAACACTAGTTGGATGTTAAGTAAGTTTTACTATTATTTGGGTTTTGAAATATTGGGGTCTTCTCTGGGAGCTTTCATATATTATATAGATACGGATTCCCTTTTATAGATAAGGACGAAGGACTGTTGCCTGAAATCTTCATAGGTCCTAGCTTCCAAGCCAACAGTGTCAAGCATATGGGGTCACCTTTGAGTTTTACAGGTGCTGGGAAGGCTCTGCTATAAATCTATTTCGGGTGAAGTCAACGGTATGTTCCAACTCTGGAATGTCCTGCGTAGACTGTATTTCTTTCCTGTTACTATATAAGATGAACTATGCAGAATCATTTTTATCATTACCATCATCATCCTTATCTTTGTTTGATGAAGTCTGGAATCTTGCCAACCCAAGCAGCTTGTAAAATAAATTCTCTCTGCTCTTTGTATCGAGCCTTAAATCATGAACACCAGCTGTTTCTTGTATTTGAAGCAAAGCTCCAGGTGTATTAGGTACATCCAGGCAGCACAGGCAGTCTTCCTCCACAGAATATGTGGGTACCATGGTGCAGTTGGGTAATTTGCTCCTTTAATGTAGAAAGAGGATCTCTTGATTTTTGTATCTTCTACAAGGCTGAACTCAGCAGCTAGTAAATATTTGTTGATTTGCTGCAGGGCAGCCAGTTAACAATCACATAAGCCATACTCTCAACAAGTTAGGGCAGCAGGAAAAGAGTACTTTTCCCAACAAATATTATGAGTGGAATTCTGGAAAATAGATTGGAATGTGCATCCCTAAGTTCTAAGAGAGACAGAACATAAATTCAACATTCAGAGATAAGGCTTGATATTGGTTAAATTGCTTGCAGTTTTGTAATGATTTATAGTTTCAAAATGCTTTATAGAGATTGGGTAATTAAATTATCACAACCATCTGGTGATATATGCAAGATGGGTATTATTATTCCTGTTTAACTGATGAAGAATCAGTCTTAAAGAGGCAAAGTAACAGCCCAAACACATAAAAAAATGAAATGGTGAAGCAGGGTCTCAAGACCAGCTCTGTGGATCGTTGCTGAGAAATAAAGAGGCAGGCAGTATTTTGTTGACTTTGGTGTTGAATTTGAATGTCTTTAAAATGCACACAGTCCCTGCAGTCCCTTTGGTCACACCCTTCTATATTATCTGCCTGGCTCTGAAACCTTTGAGTTTTTGGTTTTGCAGTCATGAGAGGGAATTTACGGAGGAAACAGGACCCAGGTCTCCCTGGCTGGCTGCCATTGCTGGCTGAAGAAACTCCACTGAGGGTCATCGTGAAGCTCCAACAGGTCCTTCCCCCATGGGCCTGCGCTCGGGACTGCCATCCAGGGCAAGTTAATGGGTAATGTTTTACTGTGAAGCATTCGGAATGGGCTGAAGACTCTATTTCCATCCTTTAGGGACTTTATGCCTTTTCATAGAGATTCAAGCCTGTAGAATCATCCACCCCATCTTTAACTGTTAGCTTCTCACAACCTTGGATGACAAAATGTCCACTTCTCTCAAAGAGCAAATACATGCATTCTGTTTGAGTATTTAGGCAATTTAGCCTAGCCTTAGAAAATTGTTAACACAGGTTTTAGACGTATAAGCCCTTCAAGGGCAGAGCCAAGGTCTCATTTATTTTGCATTGCCAGCACCTAAGCACATAATGGTGCATCATGAAGATGTATTGAACGGACACCTGCAGCAGAACCAATTCCACATGGGGTGTGCAAGAAGTCCAGTGTCTTCTTTCCCCTTTGCTAACTGACTGCGGCAATCATCCTCCACTGGCTCTGAATACGTTGCCATGGTATTGTTCTTTTCTGATGGACGGCAAAGAACTTTTGCTCCTACTTCAGCAAATCTGTATTAGAAAACTCAGAGAAGCCAGGCCCAGTGGGAAAGGATGACCTATCTCATCATTCCAAAGTGGTATCTCTAAAATGCTGCCAGAGGCAGCCGGAGGGTGGACAGGAATTAACTTGGTTAAAGAGACATGTCAAAGAAGGCACCAGATCTTCCTCCCTCCCTCCTGCCCCAAGGGCCATCAATAGGATCGATATTTAACAGGCATGTCTCTGTAGGTCCTTAGGGCTCCCTGCCACGTGGCTACTGTCTGAGTCTTCTGTTTACTCTGGAAAATAAATGAAGGTCTCTTGTAGCCAGAAAGATATTTGCTCAAGCCGGAAAGTGGACACTTTGCTAGGCTGGGGGTTGGACTGTTAGTAGGTGGCACTGGTCCCGGAAGAAGGTGTTTTCCTCCCATTTGCTGCCAGTGCTGCAGAGAGGTGGAAGGCTTCAGGTGCCGGCTTTACCATCTCCGAGGCAAATAGTACCATGACCTTTGGAAAATAAACCAGGAGGAGGAGATCCAGAGATGATTTCCCTTACTCCCAATAGAAGGTGAAATAGAAAAAAGTTGATCAATATTTTTCTGGGTTGCTTATACTTGACAGAGCCTTTACTCCAGCAATACCAACATTTTACTTTTTATTTCTCTGATACTTGGATCCAAATTTATAGACTCTTCCCCAGTTGCTCCCATCAATTTTGAGCAATGTAAGGTTCCGAGTAAAGTTGCTTAGGACTAATGACCCTTTGTTCTAAATATCTGTTTTCCAGCATTCTGAAGGGTCTCTCAAATTTTTCATGATCTCAATGCCCAGGGTTTTTCTGTGGTGCTGGGGAAGAATAGGCTTCACTCTTATTGCAAGAACCATCTTCCAGAGTCAGGCTACTTCCCCTTTTATATATGATAAATTCCTGAACATGTATATAAAGCCCAAAATATGAAAATCTAGTAGCAGACAGTATAATGAGAAGTCTATTCCCAGTGAGCTAAAACCTTGCTGCTCAAAGATGAATGACATCAGGTAACACCAGGGAGCTTGTCAGAAACAATCTCTGGCCCCACTCCAGACCTATTGAGTCAAAATCTACATTGAACACAATTCCCAGGTAATTCACAAGCACAGCAAGGTTTGAGAAGCACTGAGCTCAAAAATATAGTTCTAATTGTACCTCTCGTCATCGTCTTTTAGATAGGTGGTCTCCACCTTGGCTATACATTAGAGTCATGTGGGGGCTTTTGCAAACTACTGATGCTTAGGGCTCTAGCCCACACCAAGGAAAACAGAATCTCTGGTCATTGATTTTATAAAAATCTGCCCAGTTGATATTAATGGATTGCCAAGGTTGAGAACCACTATTTTAAGCTCAGTTTCTAGTCCTGTTTTCCCAATATTTTATGTATCAGTTGGGAGACAATTCTCCATGGGTCTTTTACATTTCTGTATATCCAGATTATTCCAGATTATCTGTTCAAGGATGATAGAACAATAAACAGCCTTGGAAGTTAGAGATAACATTTCCCTTTGGAGTGAAGGGCAGATTTAGTTACTGTCCAATATAATAAAAATAATGTCTAGTTCTGGAGCAAAGAGCAATTCGGCT